CTGCGGCTGCGACTGCGGCCGCGGCGGATCCCCCGGCGCGCGGCTCCGTCCGTGCGGGCGCAGCTCCGCCACGCCTCCCGGCCGGGGCCGCGCACAGGAGCGCGCTCGCCGCGCGCCGCCGCCGCCACCAGGTAATCCCCCCAGGAAGCGTCGGCCATTGGCCGGCGCTCAGCGCCCGATTTGCATGCCAACGGCACCGAGGGCGCCCGGGGGCTGCAGGACCCGGAGCTCACGGCCGCGCACCCCGCCGTCCTCGCGCTGGGAAAGGGAGGACCCCGCGCGCAACGCCCTCTCCCCTTGTCGCTCTGCACCCCCGCGGCGTCTTCGTTGCACACGCCGCAAACAAGCGGCAAACGACGGGACCCCGCGCCCGCTGTCTAGGGTCCATCCAGTTAGCAACTGACCAAAGGAAGCGTGATGAAGCAAGGTAAAAAGTTCACAGCTTTTGAAAAAGGTCGCGTTACAAGGAAAATAACCATCCTTTTTTTTCCCTCTCTCTCTCTCAGTGGCCCCATCTCTTTAGCGGGTCAACCGCCCAGATTTCAGGTTGTGGTGATGGGGCCCAGCTGCTGCCCTACCCTCGAGCATCACCTTAGACCGAGGGAGGCGTAGTTCAGCCGTATGTTCAGGAGAGGTTTGCTTCCGCTTTCCACCTTTTGGACTTTTGAACAGTATATACGTTTCCGTTGGTTCTGTACCTAGAGCGTGCTCAGTTAAGCTTAAGGAAGGCCTTGAGGCTCTCCCAGCCTCTCTCAATGGAAGCTAAGATTTCTCCCCCTCAGAGAGTACTTTTAATTGCTTTCACTTGTCTCCTCCAGAGACTATCATAACAGTACAGTCTGAAAGGCTTTAGTCCCGCTCAAGCAGTCTCTACTGTTCAATTTCCAGGTTCCGTATCTAAAGCAATACAGGTACAGACACCTAACTAGGTACGAGGCAGCTGGGTTATGTCTAGCTGGTACCATCTGCCTGTATTTTGGCTGACCTTAGGGGCTGCCAGAGCATTAGCAGCCACAGACCTCTGAGACCCCCGACAGCCTGCCGCACCTCCAAAGGAATTATCTGTTAAAATAGTATTTTCTTTTACATGTGGCATCATGTAAAAGATACCCGTAGTCACAGGGTAATCACTGCTGCTAGGCATGGGAGGCAGGCGGCTGATGCTCCTGACCTATAAGGGAATCAATCTATTGCTAGAGGCCTCTAGGAATTGGAGCCTGAAGAAGAGGCCTTTCTTCCAGTTTACAGAGCCTGTTGCTTAGGAGCTGCCATGTTGGGGAAATGGTTAGGCTAAGTTCTCATGGTCAGGGAACTCTCTTTTTTGTTTGTTTGTTTGTTTGTTTGTTTTTCATGACAGGCTTTCTCCTTATAGCCCTGGCTGGCCTGGAACTCTCTCTGTAGACCAGGCTGGCCTCAAACTCAAATCCACCTGCCCCTGCGTGCCCAGATTAAAGGCTCGACTCACCACACCCAGTGAAAGTTCAGGGAAACTTTCCTAACGTTGGAACAGAACCCTCTGTGCCTCTGTGAAACATCACTTTAAGTCCACAATTCAAACACACTTTGGGTGCAGATCTTACCACCCGTACCACATGTAATTCATCTGGATGACCAGAGAGGTCTTTGAGCTCCCATTATACCACAGGTCCTAGAACAATGCTTTCTCTTATGTCTGCAATTTAGAGACATCGAGTGTTTTTAGAGATGGAAGGAAAGCAGCCTGTCTCATGAGACATGAAATGATATGAAATCCCAGTCGCGATTCAGGATCACACCAGTGTCTCGGCTCTCTGACTAGTGTCTTCTGCGGTGGCCTCTCTGCCCCTGGCCTCAGAGCAAAGTGAGCAAGGGAGCAGAAATCAGCATGTGTCCAGCGTATGCGTGTGTGAGTTCCAAGTCACTTAACTAAAGATGTTCTCTGTGAAGTTGCACTGGCTTTAAGCGCCTGTATTAAAACTGCCTTTAGAAAGTATGTTTTAAATTAGAGTTCAGTCTTTTATTGAAAAAAAAAATATTATTGAAGAAATATAGCTTTAGAAAGTTACAATATTTTAGGAGGAAATAATTGGAAAAAAAACAACCCTGCTCTAAGAAAAGCTAGTGTGAAAACTGTTACACAGTTTTTCTTTAAAGCAATGATTTCTATAATGTATTTTTTGACATTTTTTTAGTTACATTTTATTAACTTGTATCCCAGCTGTATCCTGCTCCCTCATTCCCTCCCAATCCCACTCCTTTAATGCATTAATAGATAAAATTCATGTGTACTGAAATGTTAAAGTAAAAAACCAAAAACATGCTTTTTGTGCTCTCCCCTCCTCAAAGCCTCTGGTACTGAAGTAGATCAAAAAGACCAGAGAATCTGGGTTAACTCCCCATCCGGGTGGGGCGCTCAGGGTCCCTAGAAGCATGAGGGGACAGGAGCTGTGAGTTAAGTAGGCTCATGGCTGCCAGGCTAGCCACTCTGTGCACTGACGAAGTCGAGTCATCTTCTTTCACCTCAAATATTTCTACCTACAAAGCCCAACTTTCCGTGTGAGGGCACTGAGCCAGCCTTAGCCAAATACAAAAGATCATATCAAGTCACAGTAGCCTATCTGAGGGGCGAATATGGCAGGTCCAGTAAGATGGCTTCATGGGTAAATTCTCTCTGTGCAGGTCCGGCAACCTGAGTTCAATCCCCAAAGGCGGAAGTGGAGAACCAACTCTGCCCTCTGCCCTCTGCCCTCTGCCCTCCACATGTTGGCAGTGGTGCACACCTCAACCCAAATAATAAAATTAAATTAAATTAAAAAAAAAAAAACTCTAGTTCCTAGTGTGAGTGAAGTTTATTTCCCCATTACAATTGTTAGGTTCTTATCAGAAAGGACAAACTTTTGAAAATAAGTATCTTCATCAAACAAAAAAGATTACCGGTATTTATCCCTAAATTCTAGATTCAGCACTGCTCTAGGAATTATTTCATGTTAATCTAACACATTTAATTAATTATATGTTTAAAGACTAGATACAGAAACCATACACAAGATTTATTTACTTATTTAGTGTAATTAGAAAAGTATGCTTTCTTTTAAATGTATATGGGTGTTTTGCCTGCATTTCTGCCTGTGCCCTACTTGGCATGTCTGGTGCCCAAAGAACCCAGAAGAGGGCATTGGAACTGGTGTTACAAACAGTTGTTAGCTGTCATGTGTATGCTTGCAATTAAACCCTGGTCTGTTGGAAAATCAGCCAGTGCTCTTAACTACTGAGCTAATTCCCCAACCCCAAATACTTTTATAATATGTGTTGTGACTTTAAAATATTAAGCCATGTTTTACTTATAAATAGGCTGTCAGTAGTTCTTAGAAACTCAATGTGGCTGTTTTTTTTTTTTTTTTTTTTTTGCCCTAATTTTTCCAAATAAAAGTTATATGAGAAACATATTTATGTGTGCTTTTTACACACACAATAGAACCGTTCTCTTGCCACAGCTGTACAATAAATTCCTTGCTTTGTCTGCATGCGGATTTGACTATTCCCACTTTAGAAAAACAATATCCCTATCTGTTGAACATCTGGGGACTAAGAGTTAATATCAACAGCGTAAACCCAAGAAAGGAGATTCAAAATATAAATGTACTGCTTCATAGAGAAAATTTGAGGAAGAAGAAAAATATGCTGCTTTCTGAAATGTGTAGGTTTCATGGGAGCATTATACAACTTTTGGTATACTAGTCACTTGAATAAGTATTTTTAATATTTTTTTTTGATATATCAAAATGTGAAAACCAAACATCTTAACCCAGTGAATAAAATGCTGAATTAGAAAGCCAGGAAGCTCATCTACTGCTACTCCAAATCTAAGAAATGGCTAATTTTATAGGTAGTGAATGTAAACGGGGAAACAATCGTATTTTACAACTTCCAAGGGGCGCTCTGTCCTTTCCCCCTCCTCTTAGCCCCACTAGCACTGCCCCTTCCCCCAAATAATGCTCAAACTGAGAGCCTCTGTGCCCACTCCTTCCTTAATTCTCTCTCCTTATTTCAGGCATCTTCAACCCTAGCCAGCTAAATCCTGTTACAAAGGGCCCTCCAGGTGTTCAGTTCTCTGGAGCAGGGGAAAACAAGGGCCCACATAAAAGCCTTTATGCAAGCCTGGCTGTTAACCAGAAAGCTGTGCAGGCTCCTGTGGAGGTCAGAACCCTAAGATGGGGAGAGGACTAGAGAGGCAGGGCTCCTTCGTTACTTGTGCGGCAACACACGTTACTGCCATGGGCCCCTGCAAGCATAGTTAGCCGAGCAGGATGGGGACCCTGTGTATGACCCACAGCGCTTTAAACAGACACATAGGCATAGGAAAGAACGAAACAGTGACCCTGGAGGAAAGGATAAACCGGAAGGGACAGTTCCAGGGAAGGATGGTCCCTGTCCTCATAGAAATGACAGGTCACTGTCAACATTAGGCAGGCTGTTAATAAGTGACACTTGCCCAGGTCAGCGTCCCAAGTTACTAAGGAGACAGGAATTGACAGCGTTCTTTCTGGGACGCCTTAGTTCCAAGTTTTGAAGATTAGCTTAGAGACTGAAAGCAACCTGAACAGTCATGTGAAAATATAAATTAACAAGTAAATATGAATGTAACATGGAAAAAGAAAGAGGTTGAGGGCTGGGGATACAGTTTGGTTGGTAGAGTGCTTGTCTGGCCCGTATGAAGTTGGGGGATTTGATCCCCAGCATCCAGTGTGATAACATGTTTATAATCTCAGCCCTCAGGAGGAGGAGGAGGAGGCAGGATCAGAAATTCAAGGTCATCTTCAGCTATGTTACTAGTTCAAGGGCAGCCTAGGATACAGGATATCCTATCTCAAAAATTTAAAGTAGTATAGGAACAGAGAGAGAGAGAGAGAGAGAGAGATGGACAGACAGACATATCACAGCCTAAGTCCTCCAAACTTCACTTAATGCATAGCCTAAATATATATATTTGTTATCTGGGTGTTTATGCAGGATTCTGAAAGTTTTGGGGTTTATATTTGTTCTGCTGGCATTCTGGATGACAATGTCTGGAAAGCAAATAAAATTCCAGCAGAACAACAGTGGCTGATAACAGCTGTCAGCAATCTGGTCACTGCTCATACGTCCTTACCATTTCTGTGTCACCAACCACATCACACACCACTAGACACAGGAGATTGACTCCAGTGCCTAAAATTATCTGACAGTCTAAGGACAACTGAGTTTTAGACGTGAGTTAAATGCTCAAGGTTCATGTCTACTTATGTTTTAGTTGACAGAATATAATTTAGGAAATTTCACAATAGCTTAGGATGAGGACTCGCCACATTCACCCTCATTCTTTCTTCTTGGCTACTTCAGTTCTGTATCCACCACAAAGTACCTGCTGTGTGGCCAGTCTTGGGGTATTAGATGGCTCCCTGCTTAGTGGCAAGCTCTGGTCTCTAAAATCTTTCCAAGCTGTAGGTGGTGGCACAGGTCCATAATCCCAACCCCCAGGAGGTGGAAGTCAAAATGAGGCCAAGCTGGCCTCACAGCTAACACCATGTGGAAGGAAGGGAAGGAAGATGGATCTCAACCCCCCAGGATAAGTAAGTGGGCGGTTAAGAACATGGAGTACATTCAACAGCTCCACTAGCTTGCCAGCTGAGGGCAAGTAAATGGATCTCACCAAAGCTCAGCCTTTCCTCTGTAAAATAAGAATAATCACACCTCCCATAGAAGGTTACATCGAAGACTATATTGGATAGCTGGGTGCGGTGGCACAGGCCTGTAATCCCAGCACTCGGAGGCAGAGGCAGGTGGAGCTCTGTGAGTTTGACTCCAGGCTGATATACAAAGCGAGTCCAGGACAGCCAAAGCTACACAGAGAAACCCTGTCTTAGGGAAAAAAAATTATATTGGATAATCATTGACTTCCCTCTATTGAATTCCTGATAACCCCACCTCCCTCCCAGCTAGTGCCATTCACTGGCAAGGTAGGGATGAATCGTCACAACCCATAGAAGCTTTAGAGGACCACTCTAATCCCATGATGGTCAACCTGTGGGTCTTGACCCATTGGAGGTCACATGTAACCCCTTTCGCAGGGATTACATACTGGATATCCTATATATTAGATATTTACATGACAATTCATAACAGTAGCAAAATTACAGCTATGAAGTAGCAATGAAAATAATTTTATGGTTGGATCACCACAACATGAGGAACTGGACTAAAGGGTCACAGCATCAGAAAGATTGAGAACCACTGCTCTTGTCAGAGCCATTTTCCTCCCACAGTGGACATTACAATATTTTAGAACTAAAGTAGAAGGGCAAGGAGAGCCTTGGGGACCTGAGGGACACTGGAAGAGTTCTGGTCCTGGTGAACAAGAGTGGAAGTCAAGGAACATGTGCCCCGGGCACTTGAGCTGGAGAAAGCTTGCCCTGTCCACCAACCCTGCTGCCCAGTGACATAGAATAAGAACAAGGTTTCTGCAAAAGCCAAATGGGCAGAGTCCTGATCTGTATAAGGAGGTGGCAGACACCACCATTCCAGTGGGGAGCATGCTCAGGGAGACTGCAACCCAGAGACCAGGGCTATACCCTCGAACTCTCCCCCAAAACACACACACACACACACACACACACACACACACACACACACACACACACACACACACA